TCTCAATGAGCAGGGTGATTGGCCCGGTCGGGCGCAGAACGAGTAGCGGCTGACAACCCATAACAGAGTGCCTGAGCTGTAGAGCTTAGGGTGCAAGCCGTGTATTGTACCCTAAACCCTCAAACCCTGAAGCCCTTAAACCCTGAACCCTTTTTGCATCCGGGCTTGGAGAGTCGGCCGGGAAAGGTCAGGAAATTGCTGTGACTTGCATCTGAACCTAAAGCCCTAAACCGTTTTCTTGAAGGCCCTGTTCTGTCCACTTAGGGTAGAAGCCCCGCCAACCGCTCCGAGGCTTCCGACCAACAACTACTACAACAAAGTTCTAGGCCTTAGTTTGTTTAAAAGGGCTCAGGGTTTAGGGTTTGGGGGTTTAGGATTTAGGATTACAACAAAGTTATAGGCCCCAGGGTTTAGGGTTTAAGGTTTAGGGTTTAGGGGTTTAGGGTTACAGCGAAGTTATGGGCCTTAGGGTTTGGGGTTTATGATTACAACGAAGTTATGGGCCTTGGGGTTTCGGGTTTATGGTTACAGCAAAGTTTTAAGCCTAAGGGGCTAGTTTTTATGATTACAGCGAAGTTATGGACCTTATATTATAGGGTTTAGGGTTTATGATTACAACGAAGTTATGGGCCTTAAGGTTTATATACAGCGAAGTTATAGGGCTTAGAGTTTAGGACTTGCAGCCTGGTTAACACTGTCATGCCTCTTCTGTGCCTTGTTAACAACCTTGGCTTGAGGTACACCACCCCGATTCAGGCAGTTTCTTAACAATGACTTGTTGATCCCCTAAATATTTGCTGAGACATTTACAGTAGTTCCTTTGACCATGAACATAATCAAGCGTTCCAGACAGCCAAAGGCACACCATGCCCGAGATGCTGTTCATAATGAGGTACTCATTGATGCCAATGACCTTGTCTGGGCAATACGGCCCCAACCAACAACACCAACAACAACAGCAGTCGTATCAAGACTGGCACCGGACAACCGCGATGATATTCAGGGTCTTTCATCGTAACAATGACCGCCGAAAGAAAGAAGCCCTAAACCCTATTAACCTCTTGAGGGACCGTAAGCTTAAGAGTCTCCAAGCGTGAAAGTCCTGCAGTATCGACCTGTTAGTCGGGCCGCGCGCCTTTGCTTCTTGCATGAGGGCCTACAGAAGTACTGTAGGGCCTAAATAATTACCAGGGCCTGAATACTTACCTACATTATTTTGGGGGCTCCTTATTATAATTATGTAGTATAGCGGGTCCCAAAGCCCTATTCTGATTACTAAGGCCCGTACATTACCAATTCTATAGTTCAATATACCCCAAAACCATATTCTGAGCATTGAGGTCCGCACATATACTGAGAACCGCTGCCGAACTCCCTCTGCTGCAAACTCATGGAATACTGAGACTCCGTGGAAAGCCCCGTTTGCAACGAACACTCCAAACTCGCAACATGCCCCTACCCCTTAAAGCAACAGGACTCATGGTAACTTTCCCTAAGGCTCCAAGTGCCCATTATTTAAGGACTTTGGGGCCTCTTTGGGTACTTAAAACCATAAATTAGGGTTTAGGGTTTAGGGTTTAGGGTTTAGGGTTTACTTGGAGCCTTAGGGTTTTTGTACTGACACGTCTATGCACATTACAACTCTTTCAGGAATGCTCTCAGCATGCTCCAACATCCATTCCGGAGGGCTTCACACGGTTCTTTAGTTCCCGAACCATCAAGGTTTAGGGTTTAGGGAGTTTAGGGTCTACGGGTTACGGGTTTAGGGTTTAGGGATGTTCGGGCTTGAAACAAAGACATCCGGAGCCAGCGCGGCTTTATTAGATCAGGAAAGATTTGTGAAAGATTGAGGTGGTTAAACCCAGACGACGACCAAACACTGAAGGCAATCATCACTACCTCCCTCTCGTACCGCGCGAACAGCCACCCGGGCTGAAGGGAGATGTGCACCCTGCCAGCTCAAGCCTCTCTCTCTCTCTCACACGGACTCGAGCCTACCTATAGTCTCCATTGGAGTCCCTTTTTTTGGTTTAACCAAATATATGTGAAGGATTTTATAAGGTATCCCGAAAAAGGAAGTACAATGGAGACTATAGGTAAGACCCGAAAACAGCTTATGCCTCATCTCCTCCTCTTCGAGCCCGGGAGCTAACAACTTCGGACGCCGGGCCTACCTAGATCCCAAAGGGTGCACATAGACGGTTTAGGGTTTAGGGTTTAGGGTTTAGGGTCAGTGAACGGGCATATTCTGGAGAGTTTCGTCGCCTAGGTGCCTTGAAACCTGCTCGTAAGAGCTGCAGCTAGATTGCAAGAGTTAGGGATGAAGGTTCAGGGAGTGGGGCTACCGTTCGGGAGTACGGTTTAGTTCAAAAAGAAGGGTCTGACATTTAACTTGAACAGTGCGGGGGACTTCAGAAACACGGGCCCACGCTGCGATTTCCCATCCTGCAAAAAGTTCACCGGACGTCGTTGTCGGGTGCAGTGCATCCTAGGCCCTAAACCTGTCCTTTTTCCCCACTGGACGCAAGTCCAGCCACACCTCGATCGAACCTCAAATCATCTTTCTAAACCCGTCGTAAACCCTAAAACCATCCTAAACCCTAATCCCTGTCCCAAGTTCTCAGGATCTGAGGCGTGGACTCCATGGGTCACCTCACTTGGAGAGACTTGCGTGTTTAGGGCTTCTTGTTTTTGTTGGGGAGGGTCTGGGGTTCTCGCTCTCACAACTCGGACAAGCCAGGCGAGGTTCCTGGGTTTAGGGTTTGGTGTTCAGGTTTTGACTTGGTACACTTCTCGACTTGTGCGTTCAAGTTTAGGCTTTGGGGAATACGGCTTCACTTCTGCATTCACTTGTATTGTTGGGGTGGGGGGGGTGCCTTAAGGATTAAAGCTTAAGTAAGTAGTCCTCAGGCCAGTTTATCACAGCACTGATGGATTGCAAACGATTGATATGACTCAACCTGATGAACTAAAATGCTGTTTCGGGGCATGTTAAACCCAAAACCCAAAACCCAAAACCCCAAACCCTAAACCCAAAACCCTAAGCCGCATGGGGACGATTGCAGACGGGAATCCTGCGGCTCAAGCTTCGGGCGACACCATTTGTCAGCAGCTCTCCCTAACTCTCCAGGTGCCTACTATATAGGGCCCTCGGGCTCTAGTACCCTAAGTGGTAGGTACCTGGGGGGTTAGGGTCTGGGAGGAATGAAGCAGAAAGGACAATCGAGTCATCGCGACAATATCGGGGGCCTCAGGAACTGGAAGAATAGGGAATCGGTGCATAACACGTATCTTGTGTAGTGACGATAAGGGGATGCTATTACTGACTCCCAGCTGAGGACATTGGGCTTACAGCTGAAACTTCGGAATCGGGGTGTTGTGCCTTCAGAGCTGAAGACCCGCAGACTACCGGAAATCACCCGGGCTGAAGCAAGAATACGCACTTGCAGATCGGCTTTGTTTTGTGAACATGCACCTCTAAAGTTGTGTCGGAATCGAGCCTATGGCTTGACAATTTATAATGTCTTGGATTTAGGGGTTCAGGACCTTTGATGCAGCCCAGGGGACATCGTTGATGTGTTTGCCCAAGGCGAGGGTAGAAGTGAAGGTGGCGAAGAAAAGGAAAAGCGCACCTCGCAGGCCCGTGGCGTCGCAATGCAAACAAGAGGTTGCTCCCTGTAGGGGTCAGGTTGCCTTCTACAAAGTAGGCTTTCCCCTATACACCATAGTATGGTAACCTTTCGTATGTATGTATATATATACACACATATACATCTGTTTTCATTTGTTTATTCGAATGTGTATGTATGTGTAAAAAACTGTGTAAATATACATACACACAGAATGTAGCGGGCTTGCAGCATGTGTTTGCAACACTCAAGGCTCATGGGTTTAGGGCTGATCTGGTTGAAGCTGCCGGACGAGGCTACCTTATCCTTAGGGTCTGAGTACCCTAGCCCACAAAAGGTTAACCTTTTCAATTATAGTAGGATTATATGAGCCCTAAAAGGTTAAAGGTTACCTACTCAGTCGTTGATGGCCACTGGTGAGGATCGGAACTTTCGTCAGCTTCAGCTGCAGAGCCCTTGCAAAACTCACTTTTCAAGGTTTCGCGCCTGAGACTGTCTTCCCTTTCATCACGTCCGTGAGCCAGTCTGACCGAAAGTACGCGAAACGTCGACGGTAGTCGTCCCTGGGCTGAGACAACATACATGATTGCCACACGTCATCTGGGACCATGGGATCAGACTCAAGCCCCTGCATCCCAAACTGCAGCCAAGGTGCCGCAAACCTCCGCAGAATCCGCCCACATAGTCGAGGCCAGGGGGCGTCTCCACATGTCCCGCAAGGATCTTGTGCAGCATTATGGGTGACTCCTCTGCTCCTGCCGCCCTCAGCCTTTCCTGTCTGGAGCCGCGAACCCTGCAAGATGCAATCACAGGAACTTGACCTACTATTGATCATATGGAATCCTGCAGCACCTTAAGGACCCTAAACTATGGGAATTATGGTATCTTCCTGATTATGGGTACTGCAGATGTCATCAACCGCAATGGAAGGCTCAGACCAGTGGTCTCGGAGACTAAATGAAACCTTCTGAGGGTGATAGCCTACTCCTACTACTACTACTACTCCTACTACTACTACTACTACTACTACTACTACTACTACTGCTACTGCTACTGCTACTGCACCCACCAACCACCACCACCACCACCACCACCACCACCACCACCACCACCACCACCACTGCGATTAATTACTATGACTTCTACTCCTTTTACTACCTCTTTTTTCGGGGTCCATATTCTACTGCAGTGCTGTCAAAGTGAAACCTTTTGTCGTTGCTATTGCTATACCCTCTGTCTATAACAGCATTAGTTTTAAGCGTTGCTGCTTCGAACAATACACCGAACCAAAACACACAAGTTCAACATAAAGCTATCAGCAATATGAAGGAGTCTTCAAAGCAAGAGCCTATCAATAACATCAACTTGTGCCTTGGCAGCGTAGTCCGCAGGCAGCATCAACTCCTGGCAGGGACGACATGTCGCATGTTGCAACCTCAAAGAAGGGTTTGGGAGCTGTGGGTTGCAGCTTGTGTAGATGTCGTACCGGTATGACGGGGTAACTCAAGTAGACTACAAAAGTGGCATGTCGACTGAATACAAACAAGCCCACAATACGTTGAAGGGTTTTTGCCTTGTAGACTTTCGAGGTTCTTGGTGTGGTCTGAGACCCCGAGACCGTGTGGCCCTTGTGGTCGGATGTGTTAGGAGAATTCAGTTCTGTGGCCGACTACGGCGGCTGCATGTGGATTGCTGTGCTCTTCTTGCCTGTCTCGACTGTCAGGGGCGTGCCAAGCCGCTGTAGTAGGAAGCCATGTAAACTTAGAAACAGTCAAACCCTATACTCTGTTTGCATCCGGGCTTGGTAAGTCGGCCGATCGGGCCAAGGCTAAACCCGAGGCTTCGCAGGACTCAAACCGAAGATGCCCTTAAGGAGCGCGAAAAATGATCTCGGGGCCTTTTGAGACAAAGCCTCAAAGGCCCTGCAAAGCCTGTCCTTAACCAACTATAATTCAGTCGAAGTGCCTGAAAAGCAAGCCTACAGATTTTTTTTAGCACTCACACTCGACAAGCAAGCCTACAGATTTAGAAACTTCGACCGGGAGAGGGATACCCATATATATATATATATGCATGTATACATAAACACTCACATGTATATGTATGTATATGTATATGCGCACATGCAAAGATACACAATAACAGACACTATGCACATGTCCAAAACTACACATTCAGGTATACACTGGACACACCAATGCTAGCGGAAGGCCCTTCCTCGATCTTGCCCACGAGTTCCTGTGCCTTGTTGGAGCCTCAGCACATGTCGACGGAGGGACCGGGAGTGCTTGAACCCTAAACACTATCCCTAAGGGTCCAGGTACCCAATATAGTATATACTTTGGCCTTAAAGTAGTCCCTATATAGGTACTTTGGGGCCAAAGTATATACTATTTGGGTACATGGACCCTTAGGGTATAGTAAACCCCAAAATGGTGGAAACCGGATAAAGAGCAATTAGTGCTGGGATGCCCTATACATTATACTCTTAAGGATTGAGGCTATTGGGCTTCCAGCTTTTGGGCTCCTACCGTCTCTGGACCCTATAAAACCTTCTAGGTTTCCCTAGTCTGATGTCCTAATGTCAGTCCTTAAAGAAGTAGGTTATTTTGGGGGGGTTCAAGAGTTCGGCCGCTCGGCCCGCATCTGGCCAAAGTTAGGGATTTTCGATCGATCGCTTTGGGGTTCACAGTAGCTTTGAGATCGGATTTCGGAGCTTCTGGATACCCCGAAGACGGCCTCTCGCCAGGCCGCGGCTGATTGAGCGTTGTTCAATCAAGGCCAAACCTTGCTAGGAGGGCGAGACCTTCCGGAGCCTGCCAAAGGCTCCTGTTCCTCCTAAGCCCTAAGCCCTAAACCCTATAAGCCCTCAGCCCTAAACCCTAAGCCCTAAACCCATAAACCCTAAACCCTGTTCCTGAGACCACCGCAATCCCCGCCTTGCTGACCTTTGTTCCCAGTGGCCCTCCACGGCTTCGGTTAGACAACAACCCCGCGCCCCAGATCATCCCGTACCAAGCCCCGAAGAATGGCCATGCCCCTAAACCCTAAACCCTTTTTGAAAGCGGACTTGGTGACTAAACCCTACACCCTAAACCCTCAACCATGCACCCTAAACCCTAAACCCTAAACCCTAAACCCTAAACCCTAAACCCAGCTTGTGGGCTCCGTTGATTCCTTGTGCAACCCGCCCCCCGCGTCCCAAACCTGAAGGCCTCCCCGGCACCCACAGGGCAGGGCAGCTGCCCTTCAAGAAGGTGCCGATCCCCTGGGCCCTTTAGGGTTTATAGGGTTTAGGGTTCAGGGTTTATTAAAGCCTAAAAACCTTACAACATGCGGATGTTCGTTTCCTTGCGACAGCGGAATTAGAAGAACCAGGACATATCAAATGCAACGCTATGGTTTCTGGAATCAGGCTGCAAGCAAAAACCCTTTGTGGCGACTCTGAGCGCCTGCAATATAGAGCACCCTAATCATTAGAAGAGGGCTTGGGGGGCATGTGATACATCAAATATGAGAAACCCGAATAGCAATGTTGGTAATTGTTGAGGCATCTAAATTGAGCTGACTTGATAGGTGAAACAGAATGACAAAGCCACATCCAGAAATGAAGCCCGAAGCAATGGAGGGCTTGATACTTCGAATGGGGGCCCCGGTAGATTATACTCACCCTACTTCGGTTTCGACCAGAAAGGGATACGGTTGCTAAATATTCCTACACCCCGCAAACTCTGTGAACTCCCTAACCCTTAGCATCAAAATAGCCCAAAAGCTTTATATAGTAGGGTCTTTGGGCCCAAAAGCCTTAAAATATGAGTCCTTTGAGGGTAAGGGTAGCAAAACCTTAGAGGGTTCTTTTACTACGCATCCAGGCCCCTTTACATCAAAATCGCCAAAGCCTGCACTGAGAGTTCGGCTTTGTCCTGCCTTTTCCACCATGTCGGCCTGCTTGTGCCAAGCCCCACACCGACAGGGAAAGATCGAAGGCTTTACAATGAAGGGGTTCAGGGAGTTTAGGGTTTATTGTTGAGATCCTGAACTCTTCGCTTCGGGTGGACATCATTGAACCTTGAACCTCCGCAGGTGCCAACCTGATGAGACTATACGATCTTGGTCTACAATGCCCAATGTCACCACATGAACCATATGGACCATATGAACAGCAGGACCGTCACATTACTGTAAACTTTTAGAACAAAGCACGCGAAGCCGTGAGCTCTGCGGGTGCTCTGAGATGTCGATTCGGTACCAAGCTGCCTTGGTTTTTTTGACACTCACACTCGGACAAGCCTGGCAAGGTCCACCACGATACTGTCTCTGCCTGGGTTTAGGGTTTAGGGCCTGTCATGTCGCAAGATGCAGATGCGTCGAACCAACCGAAATCTGACGTCAGCTCGACTCGTGACACACTCACTCCAGCTCCTTTGGGGGCCAGGCGGCAACTTGGCTTCTTCGAGTTCCTTTGAAAAATTGAAAATAGAGTACCCCATATTACCCCGCTTATTTCGTGCGGCCCTGCCTGGTAAGGCGTTGCGGTTCCGCCATACTCAGCCCCATCGATCTCCTTCATGCTACAGAGCTGCCAGCTGGTGGCATACAGCGAATCCCAGCCTTTCAAGTTTTACAGACTGAACCTTGCTGAAGTAGGTAAGCAGTCCCTTCTTCGCAGAATCATGGCCTCTACTACTTACTTCAATGGTTCTTGAGGCCCGATCTCTTTAAGCTGCCTTCGAGGAACTCCGGCATTCAGCTCTAACTGGACCGATAAGAAACGTTGCGGGCTCCGGAGCTGGGTCTCAGCGAGCGAGTGTTCAGGATGCGATGTATGCGCAGAACGTGCGCTTTTGCGGCTTCGGAGCCTTCGTAGCGAGCTTCGCAGCGTTCCAGTCTTTCAAGAAAAGGAGAGCGTACCATGCATGAAGACACGAGCAGCGTAAGATTTGTGTTAGAGGCTAGCTCCGCTGCAAGCTAGGCCATAAGCAGCTCAATCAATTCTTGACTTCAGGTGCTCGTCAGTCCTTCAAAATCTCGTCGCAGGTGGTCCCGAGCTCGCTTAGCAGAGCCTGCAAATTCTACAGGGTCTAGCCCGAGACACCCAGCTACCTGCCAAAACGGTACTTTACTACGGTCATAATATAGGGTATGTATCTGAGATTCAAGGATAGAACCTCCGATTGCGTGGTGTGTGTGTGTGTGTGTGCCTGATGATCACGTAAATTCTGCGGCTGCGCTCTCGGCTCGGCGACAAAGCTGCCCTGTACAGTCTCGTGCTTCTTGCAAGATCAGGATAACTTTCGCCCGCTGCAATTCACGAACCAAGACCGACTGTCCGCAACCCTAAGCCGCCCAAACCATGAACGCCCAAACTCAAACTTACAATCCCCGATCCGGGCGATGGGGGTGGGGGTTGTGCCTCGGCTGCGGGCTTCTCCGCATCTCTGACGGGCTTCAGGATGTCCTGGGTCTGCGGATCCCCCACAGGCCCTCCCAAAAAAGGAGCCCCACAAACCCTAAGCACTCTCTAGCAGAAATACTAGTACTAATACTAGTACTACTACTATACTAATACTATTTCTTCGTACGCCCCAATTGCAAGTTGTGAGCCCCAAACAAGGCCCAGTCCTTGGACTTCTGAGAGATCTTCTTCAAGACGTCCGTGATGCCTCCTAGGTGTCCATGATAGTCTAGGGCCAAACAAGGAAGAAAGGCTGAAGGTTTAGGGTTTACTCATAGGCCCCATAGTAGTTCCTTTTTGGGGTTCATGTTTGGAACCCTATAAGGTAATCCCAAAAAAGGAACTACTATGGGGCCGATGGGCAGGCTGAGGGCTTCAAATTCGGGACTCAGGGCACGCACAGTTGCAGATTGCAGCTGCCCCGATCAACCCTAAACGTTGCAAGCCTTACAATCTGAACTCTGCCATGTCCTTCTACCCGACCCGTTCGGGACACCCAGGGGTCTTGGTTTGGGGTTTGGGCTTCAGTCCGCAGATCTCGTCGGGTCTCGGCTCACGAAAGGCAGAACCACAGCAACACCCCTAAGGGTCCATGTACCCAAATAGTATATACTTTGGCCCCAAAGTACCTATATAGGGACTACTTTAAGGCCAAAGTATATGCTATTTGGGTACCTGGACCCTTAGGGTACATGTGTGAGGCTCCCGATTTGCCGACCAACAAAACCTTGCTGAGTAGCTGGGCGCAATGTGCACCTAAACCCTTTTTTAACACAGGCTTGGTTGGAGCTCGCCCAGCCAAGTCCCCTCGCACCTACACCCTAAACCCTGAATCCTTTTTTATTGAGGAGTGGCTGCAGTGCACATGCCCTCATGCCCGCCTCACGCCGTGAACCCAAAGCCCTGAAACCCCACACCAGGCTCGCTGAGTCTGTTTAGGGTTTAGGGTTTAGGGGTTTAGGCTTTGGGCTCTCTCTGACTCTGTCTCTCTGTGTTTGTCCCTAGCGCGGTCCATCTCATAAGCTGAGACAAACCCATGTCCCGCAAGTTGCAGGGATCCCAAGCCCGGCACACCCGCCGAAATCATAATCATAATGCTTGCAGAACTCCAAAGCCTAGAGTTTGAAGTTGCGGCTCGAGGTCAATAGCTTGCAAATGTACTTCACAAGATCATCAAAAATAGAATCATCACACTGAGATTCGGGGGGCTGGTGTGGAGTGGGGGAGGGGTCATTAGTGTGTACGAGACCCAAAAGCCAGAAGGATTCCACAAAACCTCTTTTTGCCAGCTACTCAGGCTTCTGGAATACTTGTTCACACAATTGTCCTTGTTAAAGCGACAATTCCCAGTCAGCAAGTCAAGCCGGCACCACCCCTCGAATACCTCGAAGACTAATCCACACTCCCTGAACCCTAAACCCCAAGGAACCTACATAGTACAAAGTCGGGATTCCCACATCTGCGGGTAAGAACCACCAGCACCCCCCCACCCCACCCACCCCCGATTTAGGAATTACAGAGGATCCTCTGGAAAGGTGAACACCGATCCAAAAAGTAGAGCCCTTAGCTTGGGACCGAAACCTCCTTCAGGAATCTACTTGTTGGATCCCGTCAGGGGCCTGGGCAACGCAATGAAAACATTGGTCTAAAAAGCACAGCCAACAACCAGGCAGCACGCCCTTGGCTTTGTCGAAGATGCGCTGCGTCACATATAGACGGGACCTGAGTGGATGATGTGCGCCAGGATAGTGATGGCAGGATCTGTTGGATTCGGGGTGACTATATCTATCTTAACCCACCAAAACCACTTTTTTGTAGGTTCTTATTATGGGCCCTAGTATGGAATTTATAGGGACCCTACAAAAAAAGTAGGTGCTGGTGCGTTAAGGTATGTAGTTATTCTGCAAGGCTAGTAGAACAGTAGGGTTGAGAGTTACCCTAAACCCTAAACCCTAAACCCTAAACCCTAAACTGAAGATTCAGGTTTCAGACCGACCCTTTTCAGCACGGACGGAGGTGCCGGCCAGCGCCTGCTGGAACCGACCCTTTTGCAGCTAAACCCAGAAAGTAAGGGCTGCCAGAGGTAGAGCTTCCGGTTTCTCAAGCACCAACAAGGCCGGCAGCAGGGCTAGACAGAACCAGAAGACTATACTTTTGCATTATAGTTGCATGTCATTTTTTAAATAGTATGTGCTTGATCGTCATGTATGAGGCCCTTGAGGATGCACCTGTAAGATGTCAAACAAACAATATAGGCTCTGATCACTGGACCTGCAGCGCGGGTCTGCGCGTACCAGATTCAACATAGGCTGCGGATCTACGAGCAGAATTCGCATTGCTTAGCACTATCCAGCAGCATTCTTCTCCTAACGCTTTCTGATTGCACCTGGTAGCCGCCCACTGCGTCCACTCCCGTTAATCCTAAACTCTATCAGCCCTAGAAACGAAACCGTCCGAGCGCGACGCTCCTCCAGACTGGCTTGCACTTCGCGGATAGGCTTCACCTGCAGTGCCAAACACGGAGGATTCGACCAAGACGGTTTAGGGTTTAAGGTTGAGGGCTTAGGCCCCCCCATTGAGCCAGCAGACTAGACACACGACGAGGAACCATAAGCGCTTGAGCGAGGGCTGCTTCTTGCGTTTAGTTTTTGTTTGTACACCTTTGGGCAGGACACCGGGGACAAGGGTGTGTCGGGGTCAAAGTTTCAAAACAGAAGATTGATTCGACGAACGGTAAACTGTACTTGTGCCGTCAACATAAACATGTGGGTGGTTGTCAAAATTATGGTCCCTTTTTGGGTCCTTATTATAATACGGCACCTATTATTTAGGATACCCCAAAAGGGACCATAATTTTTAACTACCCATGTACGCATGGCCGCAAGCTGGAGGCTCTGCAGCTAAGCAGGTACCTATAGTCTCCATTGTAGTTCCTTTTGGGGGATACCTTATAAACTCGTTAATATATATTTGGTTAAACCAAAAAAAGGAACTACAATGGAGACTATAGGTATGCTTCTGCCTTCATAGGGTGCCTCACTGGCGGACTCAGGCTATAATACTATGGGCAGCTGCTGCATGCGGAGGCATGAACCCAGGAGACTGATAATAACGGCCGGCGTCGTGTTCCATAATGAGCTATTTGATGCTTCAGGAAAGTTTGTTCCAGAGCAATGTGTAAAGTTGCGTGAGAATTCTAAAGCCTATAAGCCTTCAAACCACCACTTAGACTTCTGAACCCTTTATCCTTGTCAAGCCTCAGCTTCTGAAAGACGACCACTACCTAAGGCTGAAGCCGTTCTGCGCGATTCGTTCAGCAACAGCTCTGCAGCAGCAGCATGGCCGTAGCATCCAACGCCCCAATCCCTAAGCCACTAACCACACATCCGAAACACCAAACGGTACGTATTGCAATACCCTAAACCCTACCTATAGTCTCCATTGTAGTTCCTTTTTGGGGATACCTTATAAACTCGTTAATATATATTTGGTTAAACCAAAAAAAGGAACTACAATGGAGGCTATAGGTAAACTTTGACTCTCAGGTTCGAGAAACCTTGATAGATTGCTCTTCTGCAAAGCTCACCGTGGCGAGACATCCCTTGAACCGACCAGTACTTCTTCCGAGGATCGACGACGATACAGCGTCAGATTAAAGCAGTCCCCGCAGATGTTGCGGTATGGCCTGAACCTTTAATGTGGGCCCAGGCCTTATACATAGTGGTTCTAGTAGATTCTAGTATTTTACTGCGTTTGAAGATAGGGTCCGAAACATAAGGTTGGTTGCCCCAAGGAAGAACTGCAATGGAGCGTACAGGCAGAATGTTCAAGCCCGGTAAGCCCATGAAGCCGATGGCACATGGCGCGCCTTGTCCTCCCCTGCAGTCTCCTCAAGAGGAAGAGCGTACTGAAGCAACCTGTTGCAGATTGAAAACAGAGGACCGCGTAAGTGCACAGAAACCCCCTGGCCCCCTGGTGGCCCAAAGCCCAGGACAACCAGAATCGCAGTGCTTGAGGGTGCACCCTAAACCCTGAATCCTAAACCTGAGACCATGGTCTTCGCAAGTTTTGGCGGGGTGCTTGCAGTCTGGGGTGGACATGCAGCACGAACAAGA